TTAACACTCCAGAAAATATGGACCCACAGTTACATATCCCCGCCGTTACATGGCATATATATATATATATATATATATATATATATATATATATATATATATATATATATATATATATATATATATATATATATGTTTACAGAATATTTTCCTTTTTCATGTTTGATTAAATTTCAGTATTTAGAAAAGTATGCGCATATACGTTCATGTGTGACGGAAATGTGGCAATAGATCTACAAGGCTCGCAGTCGAGATGAAACGATAACGAGAGACAGTGGAGAAACCTGGCGGAGCCATGATGCCATTGCTCAGAAGTTTCAGTGAAAATGGACAGAACAGTGACAGAACAGAGCAGTGAACACAAAAGGCGTAATGCGATGAGCGTGGACGTGCTGTAACGCCATGTGTCACCACGTGTCACCATGTCATGTGTCGCCAGGCCGTTTCTTGAGGTGTCGATTGAATTGGCTTGTAATTTGCGCTCAGGCGACCCGTGTACTCCGGGGAGTCATTTGCCGTCTTGCGGCTTTCAATCTGGAGGGTCTAAGGTGTCAAACATGTTATCTGCTTAGCGCCTCTACAAAAATAAGATAATCCGTTCATCGGAACCGCCAACAATTGGGTGGACGTGGCTGATTATCAGAATCACTCGAGTTTCGCCGTTACATCAGATTTTGCTGCCATCAGGAAGCTCCCTGACATATGCGCTTGTGAGATGGGTTTGCTTCACATATACTAGCAGTACTGCCTGACTCTGGCCTGAATGCCATGGAACGCCAACTCGATGAAACTGCCAGTCATCATTGGTTTACAACTTAATAATTCGAATGCGAATCACCGTTTGAACCTGGCTGGCTCTTCATGTGATTCCATTTGCCTTTGCGTCCTTCCGAAAAGAGTAAGGTTGCAAATTTCGGTGAGAACTTTGAATCGACATCAGTGGGGAAACTGTAAACTAGAATGTCTATTTCGAATGCAGATGTGTAGTGCTCATGTCGGATGTGGAAAATGCTTGATACACATTATGCTTCTGGAGTCTGAACTTTCCGATCCACCGTTACGGAGGAATGGCACTAACTCGCAGGCATTCGGAAAATAAGACACGTGCGTAGTGTGGCGTGCTTTTCATTCGTGTTTTTCAGCTTCACGTTGTGCGTATTGTAATACCCCGCCTGTGGTTCGGCCCGAGCAAGGAAGGCCGATTGTGGTCAGAATAAGAACTGCTGACTCATACTGACTGTGACGGGTCGCCCAGGTTCGCCCGGCTGTTCGACCAGACGCGCGGTGAGCCGGCCAGACTGCGGGAACTGCGCTCCCGCATGGTGGTGGACGGCTGCCACCTATCGGCGCTGCGGCGAATCCTGAGTGTGTTCCCGCTGGACGAGGTGGCGCCGCTGGAGACAGTGTTGCTGGACGCGCTCGGCGAGGCGGTCGAGCGGCTGTGCAGTCAGCGCGAGGCAGCCGACATGCGCCCTCTGGCGGCCGTCACCGCCCAGCTCAGGCGTTACATCGACGAGGGTGGCGAGGGCCTGACCGCTGACCAGGTCGTCGCCGAGTTCCGTCGGTTGTGCGACGACTCGCAGGCGAGTGGCGGACGCCGCCGGCTGGTGGCGGGGTGGCCGCGTGTCGTGTGAGGTAGCCAGGCGTGGCATGCATGTGTGTTGTTGATGGTTCTTCCACCGCCGGCTCCATCCTTTTGATGCACTTGTCATGTGTTGCATGTAGCCGCAGTTTGCGCGAACTGGTCAGAGATTGGCTCACGCGTGCGCCGTCACGTGTGGACATCTTGGATCCGCGTGTGGAGACTGAGACTGGTACAGGTTATGTGCCGGCGTTGCGTATAGCCGCTGCCGCCGTGGGCGCCCCCCTCGGGCGCTACCTCACCGCCGTCCGTGCCGCAGGTGGACACGGGCCGGCGGGTGAAGGCAGCGCGGCTGCTGGTCAAACACTTCGCTGTGGACCGGGACCTGTTCCCGGACCTCGTGCACGCCGACACGATCGCCGCGCTGCCCGGCACGCCACTGTCAGCGGCTGACACGCGGGACAGCGCCGGCCGCGGCCGACTGCTGGCGCGACTGGCGGCGGCCGCCACCGGGCCGGCGCGACTGGGTCAGCTGCTGCAGCTGCTGCACCGCTGGCCCGCCTTCCCGGCCGAGGTGGCCGCCGACCCGGCGCGCAGTCCGCTCTGCCTGCTGTGCCGGCGCGCGCTGGAGCTGGCGCCCGGCGAGCCGGGCCGCGCACTGCTGCTGGCCGCAGTCGCTGAGCACGCCGACTCGCCGGCGCTGCCGCCGCCGGCGCACGCGCACCTGGTGGAGGTGCTGGCGGCGGCGGCGGACGGCGCGCCGGCCGCGCTGCAGGCGGCGCTGCTCTCTCACGACGCCGAGATCCGACGCGCGGCCGTCCGGCGAGCGAGCTCCGCCGCTGCTGCTGCCGTCGCCTCGCCGGCCCCTGCGGAGGAGCCGGCAGCGGCTCGCTGGCCGCTCACGCCGGTCGCGCTGGACTCGCTGCTGGCGGCCGGCGCGCTGCCGCTGCTGGTCGGCACGCCGCTGTACGAGCCGGCCGTGGCGCGGCTGCTGGACGGCGCCGCCGACCCGCTGCCGTGCGTGGCGCAGCTGCGCGCTGCTGGGCTGGAGGCGGAGGCGGGCGCGTTGCTGCTGCAGGCGCGCGCCGCCCGCCCGCCGCCCGGACAACGCACCATCAGCGCCGCCAAACACGCCGCCTCCAAGGTGTTCTCCAAGTGGCTCCAGTAGGTGGCGCGGCAGGGGAGAGCCGAGTGAGTGCGAGCCGGTGGTTTGTGCCTGCCACAGCCGCCTGCTAGCGCCAGCTCCAGGGGCGGTTATGAGAGACATCGGGCGCCTATGCTTGACCGCAATTTCACCGTGGATCGAGTGGTCGGGCCTTGCAAATGAACATGCCACTGTTAATGACAAGCTGTACACGGGATTTCCTCGGGCTCGAACAGGTGCCTATGCTTGTCGTCGCGGCCGGGTTCCTGTCGGTCTGAACACGACAGGCATCTGCTGCAGGCCATGCGTCCAGTGCTCTTGCTAGGTGACCCAGCAAGGTGTCCAGCTGAGGAACCACTGCGCCTTGAGTGTTCTTGGCATTATGACGAGCTAATGGCGATAGCGCCTGTGGGATTTTCTCCCAAGTGGCGACTGATCGAATTTTCCAGGCGAGTTAAAGCGGCCCGGTGCTGACCTTTTGAAAAGTTCCCCAGGGTCTCGCCATGTGATAACGGGAGTTTGGGACCTTGCTTACATCGACACTTCCACGGGTCTTGTTGCGGCACTATGGTGCATTAGCGTTCGAGGGGCAGCAATCTGCACTAGATTGACCTGTTTTGATGTCCGTGTGTTGGTGTCCGTCCGTGGGGCATGCGTAGCTTGTAGTGGTGTCGTATGGTGTCGGTATGGCAGTGCAAAGGATGGAGTGCATGGGCTATTTTTGCACGCTATTGGATTTGGGTAACTGCGCGCCCTGTGATCAATATATTATGGAAGACGCTGAGCGCGTGCCGTGCTTAACTTAATTTGGTCGAGGAAGGCGTGGGGTGCAGGAACTTCCCACAAACGGGCTGGACCTCAGGCCTGCAGCAATCACAGGGTGAAGGTGCTCCCTGTGTGTCAGCTCGCCTGCGTTCAACGCCAGCGATGCGGCGGCAGTGGGTACTCCGCTCCTGTATCCCGAGGAGGCAGGGAAGCGTTCGAGTAGCAGGCAACCGGCCACAGCAACGTCAGTTCCGTTTACATCGAAACGGCCAGCTATTCGACTCCGTCGTCAGCGATCACCCTGCCTGGGCGCTGGAGCCGATGTCACAGCTCGGGCTTAGTTTGACGCACGCTGCACTTGACTGCCGACCATTGACGCATCGCACAGCTCCAGGCGCCTGATGTGCTCATCTCGTAAAGCCACCATTCTGTGCCGTGTTGACAGGTGTTGTTGCCTGCGTTGGCTACCGTGGTAATATCGCTGCTATGAGCCAGCTGTATGTCTGGTGAGGAGTTAATCAGGCTCATCTCGCTGTTCGTGCTGTTACCGTTGGTAAATGGCATGCTGGCAGTTCAGCTTAGGATGCTTGAGCTTCTTGTTACGGCAAGCCCTGATGGGCTATCCCAGGTCAGGGCGGACAACAAAATGGCCTTAGCTCCCCGGTGAAGCGCCGTAGTAACTAAGTGGAGTTTGTTCTTCGGGAGCGCGTTTCGTCATGGAGCAATGCTGCTTTCTTGTTCCTGAGTGGCAGTCGGCCTGGAGCACATGTTCAACACCCAGCCAGGACAAATGACGAGGAAAACGCGCGTTAAAATAACGGTCCTTTATTCCACATGTTCTAGGTCTAGCTGCCACATGAATAATAATGCATCGTTTGCATTTGAGTGACGCAGCTGAACACCGCCATCCAGCGCCGCATGAAATTACCGGGGCGGGAAAGCCTGGCGTCAGCCCTGCCATCTATCGCCAGAAGTCGCATCGCTGTTTCCGCCCCGCCCGCCGGTGGCGCTCTAGCCGGGCGGCTTGACATTGCAATTGCCTGGTCCGCATGGGCGGGGAAATATAGCCCTCATTCATCTTGCACACGACACACAGGCAGTCAGGGACTCAAACGAAACCAGGAATGCTGCGGTGTCGACTGTACGGCCGGAAAACCAGCTCTCCAACCCGCTCTCGACGGGGGTCCGCGCGCACAAAACTCTGGAGAAGGCTCCGACAGGTCACGGCACGCGGCCGTGACCTCACCCGTCCCCCGCCCCCACACCCGGAGGGCCGGGCGACGAGGGGCGCCACCCAGACACACAACAAACCCTGGAATTCAACGAAAACAGACACAAATCAACAAATTGATCGTCCTAAGGTAATTCTGGAATGTTAAAACATAGATTTGGTCCTCGCCGACCTGTTAGTCCGCGCAGCGACTCTGGAGAAAAGGCTTATAAAAGTGACGTCCGATCCCGCGCCTGGAGATCCATGATCCATCACATGTCTACGACCATAGGCATGAATACAATCGATATGGTCCCTGGATCGGGCGCGGAGCGCGAGCGCAATCAGTAACTAAACCTAAGCCGAAGCCGCGAGTTGATCCTCCAGCTGCACGTTGGTTCACCTCCAACCGCCTAGCTCTGCACCATCCTTGGTCCAAATGGCACTTGGAAAGCAGCCTGGACGCCGCCGCCGTCGCGCCGCCCGTCCTACATGTGCACCTCGAACGCCTTGACGGGCCCGCCGCCAATAAAAGGGTTGGTGGCGCGGTTGGCCTGGTTGTTCCGCTCGGCGATCTGGGCCCACTCCGAGTCGAAAGGGTCGCTCTTCCAGGCGCCGGCGGCCGGCGGCTGCTGCCAGCCGGAGTCGCCGGCCGGCCGCGCCGGCGCCGGGTTCCCGTTGGCCGCATTGCCGTTGGCCAGCGAGGCGAGCCATTCGTCCTGTTTGGCCGGGCTGGCCGACGCCGGCCGAGTCTGCGCCACCTGCCGACGGGCGCAGCGTCAGGCGGGGTGCGACAGGTGGCGCGGCGGGCCGCTGCGGCTGCGGGCTGAAGCGGGGCACGAGCAGGCGCTACACGCAGAGTGGACGAGGAGTAATATATGCGTGACGAACGTAAGCTGAGCGGATGAGGAGCGAGAGGTTTGTGTTCGATTCTCTCCATGGAAAACTTTTACGATAAATACTTACCGCAGGGCAAGGGATGAATACGCGACAAGGCAACACGGAGCGGGAGATGGCTGGCTGCATCTGACGGGAGGGGTTGACCAGATGGCCCGAGCGAGATCTCCCGGTCAATCTGTGTGCTAGGAGACAGATGGAAAACAGTTTAAGCATCCCCCCTTCTCAATACATCTGTGTTTGCGCGGACTGATCATTCTTCCTAGCCTTGGATCATCATCACGATAAGCCGGCACCTGCCATGACCAGCCCAGCCTCTGAGCAGGGCTTGCCAGCGCTCGTACCTGCTGCGTGTCGGAGAGCTGGTTGAGGCCGGATGAGAGCTCGCGGCAAAGGAGCGTCACGTTGTCCGTGTCCTCCCGCTCGTCCTCGGCCAACGGCACCTCCTGAATCGGCGCCACTGAGAACGGACACGGCAAACGACTTCAACGACTCGTCTCGGAGTCAAAACACAAGACCGGCAAGGGTCATGTCACACGAGACTGGACGGGCGTATAACGCGGCGCAACCCCACGACACCAGGTCATTGCCGGGTATCTCGACTCCTTCCCCTATGAGATGCGTAACGCACGACCCTACGACCCCAGTTCAAGAACACACAACGTGTCTTTCCCTAGCTGGAGCCCAACGTCCGCCAGACGGAAGCCACCAGCTCGATCACATTGGGGCTGGCCAGCAAACTTCCAATCGCGATTATCTTCAGGGGGATTGTCAGGGGGAGCGGGCGGTTTCAGTGGATCACGGAGGAGCACTTATCCAAGTGTACGTGGCCCGGTTCATGGCTATCGACTGACTCCAAACTGTCACGGGTCTCGCTCCTGCCGTAACAACGCAAGCTATGCCGCCTGACAAAAACACTTCTGAACAAGGAAGGTGGTTGTTGGGATCGGTTCAGGGCATGTCAGTCGAAACAAAAGCTGCAGAAACTTGCTGCCTTCCATTTAGTCCTACCCTGCCCAGCCTTCAGAACTTGCGGAGGATTTTGGCCGCGCCAAGGAAGCGGGCCGGGCAAAAGCCCAGTTGAGAACAGCGGACTTGAGAAACCCTGAACACACGTACCAGCAGACAACTTCCTTAGTTTGTTAGCTCCAACGCGCTATTTCTGGAATTAATTTCAATAGTGATTGTTCGAAGTTGTGCTAAAGAGCATCAGAGCGGTCCGATGAATAACCCATGAAGTTCGGAGCAGACCGAGCCACCTAGTCGTTTTTGACGAGCGTCAAAACTCCGCCCATAAATGGCCAATCAACTGCCATTAGCAATGAAGCGATACCGCTTGATGAAGCTTCCTCGAGCTGTTAAGTTGCGCGCCTTTTGGACTCAAGCCCTAACTCATGAACTCCACCCATGTCATGCCGGAAATGGGAGTGAAATCGGCTCGGCTTCACTGTGTGACTGTCGCACAAAGGGCTTCTTGACCTTGCTACGCAGGATGCCGATCACGCCCACTCCAGGAGCCGGACGCTTTCTAAGACGCCGAGCAGGCGGTAAGTGCACTTCCTGATAGACATCTCCACCGACATAGATTTCAGAGCAGATTAACACGTCGTGGCAGACATAGACAGCAGACAATACACGTGCTAGGTAATATGGACAGCACGTGGTCGTCACCAAACTCATCAACGCATTCCGCACCGACCAAAACACCGTGCCCCACAAGACACGGACACATCACTTCAGTCTGCATGCCCCTGCGGTCCCTTTGTCTCAACACTCCCGCCGCGGACCCCTATCCTCCGCGGACACTACCGCCGATCCTCCACAGTCCTCCGGTCCCTAAAGACTCATGCCTACATCTCCCCCTCCCCCCGCCCCGGTCCGCTGACTCCCGCAGCCGCGCCCGGCCTGGCTCCCCGCCCTCCACCTTCCCATCGCCTCACCTCTGGGCCCCTCGAGGCCGGGCAGCCGACCCTGCCGCTCCAGCGTCGACGGCAGCTCGTTCAGCCGCAGCGAGTACTGCCGCTTGAAGGGCGACACCTCCGACAGCCGGCCCTGCACGCGGAAGCTGCCCTGCCGCTCGAACATGCCGACCGGCGCGTGTGGCCGCTCCACCGCGAACGGGTTACTCACCGGCTTCACCGGCACCGGCTCTGCGGGTAGGCGGCGCCGGTCACAGGTCAGGTCACAGGTCAGGTCACAGGTCAGGTCACGGGTCGGGTCACGGGTCGGGTCACGGGTCAGATTAACTGAAATGCGACGCAAGTTCATGGGACACCACCTGGTGCGGCAGCTGCCTGGGGGCGACCTGAGAAGGGCGCTGCTTGGACGGCCTAAGGGGACGCCTCGCGGCTGCTCCTTAGCAGCGGTGATAGGTATCATTTGCGACGAGCCCACCTCTTACGGCTTCTAACAACGGCGCCAAACGGTTCGGAAAACTCGTCAACTGATATTCGAGTGACTCCCAGGCACCCGTTAGCACTCGCTCCGGTCCGCACACCTATCTTTGCCTCTAACCCCGCGCCAGCCCACTGACCGCGAGCCTGTCCGGTACAGCGTCCCGCTGTGTCAGGCCGCCAGCACGCCCCGCTTACCTGCCGGCTTGCACTCCTGCGGGTCCGTCAGCCGTTCAGTGATGGTACCCTGGCGGAAGCTGCCGAACCGGGTGAAGCTGGAGGTGGCGGGGTCGACGGCCATCGTCACCGAGCACTCCTTGTCACGCTTCTGCTTCCGCTCGAGACAGGCAGCGAACGCGCAGCCCACCGCGTGGCTCAGACGATCACCCTGCGGAGACATGGCGGCGGGGGCACGGTCAGCGTCGGTCGTCCGGTGGTCAGTGAGACCGCCGCGGCGGTCGGTCACGACGGGTCACTGCTGACCGGCCACCAGGGCTGCCGCGGCGGTCGGTCACGACGGGTCACTGCTGACCGGCCACCAGGGCTGCCGCGGCGGTCGGTCACGACAGGTCACTGCTGACCGGCCACCAGGGCTGCCGCGGCGGTCGGTCACGACAGGTCACTGCTGACCGGCCACCGAGACCGCCGCGGCGGTCGGTCACGACGGGTCACTGCTGACCGGCCGCCGAGACCGCCGCGGCGGTCGGTCACGACGGGTCACTGCTGACCGGCCACCGAGACTGCCGCGGCGGTCGGTCACGACAGGTCACTGCTGACCGGCCATGTGGGCGTGTCGCGGCGGATTGCTGCCGACGGCGGAGAAAACACGGCCGGCGCGGTGCCTCGGAGCGTCCTCGCGTGACCATCACGGCCATGAAGGCGGCTCACAATGGATACTGCGCAGGAAGGCACGCGACCCTGTACGGAGGGAGGGGTGGAAAGGAGAAGAAAGACGGTAGCGTTCACCCGGACATAAAGCGCCCAGGGACGGGTAACGACCACTGCAATACGGAGGCAGAGAAGGACGACGCAAAGGCCATGCCAGAGATCGAGCGGAGAGAGTACACACGGAGTTGGCGGATGAAGCATTTATGTGCAATCGGGGCGGATTACTGCAAAATGGTTCCAATGCAGGAGTACCGAAACTGGCCATCAGGTGCACTATGGCAATTCTTTCCAAGCGGGCGGTTCGCCTGCCTTAGATCGAGCTGCTGATTTCCTTCTGTACCGCCGAATTTGGTTCACCACACTCCTTCCCCGGACCGAGGCGGAGTCGCACGAAGTCATGCCCGCTCAAAAATAGCCATGATCGGGTTACATCCATCATGCTTCAGAAGCTTCCAGCTTCGTGGGATGGATAAAAGGAATCGGGTTTGGCGGTTGCATGAGGAGAAATTCCTTTCATCTAGCCGTGTTGTTGGTAAGGGACTCCGAAATTCAGCTTCCAAAATAAATTATGCGAACTCATATCTTCTAGACTTGAAGCAGATGCGTTCACGCGGGCAATGCAGCACAGGATCGATCTTCCTCGACATCGCATGGCCTTGATTACGATCGAGTTCACTCGCTACGTCGAAATACGTTTCAAAATGCAAAGAGTTCAGCAAATGCAAACGAGCCGCTGGATATTAAAGCGAGCTATATACGTTACGGAAGCACTATCGCATGTATTGCTCCGACTGTCGCAATGCTTCAATGCGGTAACGAGATCTATCAGCATGACTGCATTCATTAAAACTGTTCCTTCAGCGCACTCATCATGCCGAACAGCGCAGCCAGCAGAGGCAGCCAGCAGCGGCAGCCCCGGGCAGCGCAGCCAGCAGCGGCAGCCCAGGGCAGCGCAGCCATCAGCAGCAGCCCAGGGCAGCGCAGTCAGCAGCGGCAGCCCAGGGCAGCGCAGCCAGGAGCGGCAGCCCAGGGCAGCGCAGCCATCAGCAGCAGCCCAGGGCAGCGCAGCTATCAGTGGCAGCCCGGGGCAGCTCAGCCAGGAGCGGCAGCCCAGGGCAGCGCAGTCAGCAGCGGCAGCCCAGGGCAGCGCAGCCAGCAGCGGCAGCCCGGGGCAGCTCAGCCAACAGCGGCAGCCCAGGGCAGCTCAGCCAGCAGCAGCAGCCCGGGGCAGCTCAACCAGCAGCGGCAGCCCAGGGCAGCTCAGCCAGCAGCAGCAGCCCGGGGCAGCTCAGCCAGCAGCGCCACGGCCGACCGCCCGGCGGGAGGGAGCCAAGCATCATGCACGGACAGGCGGCAGACAGGGCGAGGGCCAGCCAGGCGGGGCTAGAGCGCGGGCGGCAGACCCGGCGACCACTCACAGTGACCGGCTGGTCCAGGCCCTGCCAGCGACAGACAGAGCTCGGTCGGTGGGGGGTGGGGGGGGGGGGGGGGGCGGCACCCTCCCCTCACCCTGCACGGCGTGACTGGCGCACAGGCACACATGCCCTCTGGACTTCTGTTACCACTCAAGAGCGCCGGGCAGCGCGTACTTGGCAGAATAGCCAGGTGTTAAGAGCGCGGCGCGCTCATACTCAGCCCAGCCTCCCCTCTCCCAGCCCTCCTCGCTGCTGGGAAGGTCACAGCAAGTCCAGCCGGGTCAATTTCGCCGACAGCCAATGAAACTGTGCAGCGACAGGACATCCAATTCCCTGCAGGCTTGACGACCGGGCTGGTCCCAGAGCAACCGCTGGTGGGCGGCAAGCACGGCGCCGCGCTCGGGCACACTAGAGCTGTCGCGGAGCGGGGCGAGCGCGGCCTGGGCGGCAGGCGGACCTCGTCCACTGAGGGGCACAGGCCTCCAGTTAACGGAGTCGGGCCGCACGCCACAGTCAGGCCGGCGGATCAGGACCGACAGCCGCCCCCAGTCCACATCAACAGCAACATGTGAGATTATTCCAGCGGTATTGCATGAAAATAAGCGATTTGAACCACGCTTCTTATATTGACTGAGGTCCGACACAAGTCTTCATTTGGGCTCAGCGCTGATTTCAAAGCGTTTAGTCCCAGCCGGAGCAGGCTTCGAGGTAGAGATGGGTGAAATTTTTTTGGGGGGGAGGACTAGTCTGGACTTGAGCGCAGAGTTCAGTTTGGAGCATACGGCGACCGCTTGACCCGAGTTCGAGGTGACCAGTCTGGCCCCTCACAGACAGCAGAATCCTGTCTGACTTGACACCGTAGCGGCGAAAGTCTCCGCTGATGGCTGTGCCGTTCAGCCCGGTGCCAGCACAGCCAATGGGACACTGCCTGGCTCCAATGATAAGCTGAAGCCACAACCTGGCCACGGTTTTTAAAAGCTACCACATGCGCCTCGTCTACCGCCCCCATCCACCCACCCACCCACACAGCCAACAGGCAGAACACCGACCCTCCCGGCCGTCTGTGACGGCAGCACACCTAGGAGCGTGAACTGAGAAGATCGATCGCGATAAGCCGCCGGCGAAACTGACGAGAGCCCGAATGATATCCAAGGGACGTCATCACAATCATCCTCGGCGGGGAGCAGCGCAGCGCGAACAACAATCACGGACAATACCACGAAGTGCCGCCCAAGACCACAGCCCAACGTTCGCGAACGAGCACCGAGCAGAAGCGTAACGACCCCCGATCGACCACACACGTCACAAGCGTGGCGGACGCGCGTCGTTTGCATTATGCCCGGTCTCGCCAAACAAGCCGGCCGCCGCCGGCCGCCCTGCCGCCATTGGCCTGAACGCCCGCGCCGGGCGGGCCATTGTGAGCGGAACGGACGGGCCGAGCGAACGTGCGCGTACCCACCCCGCCCCACCCACCCACGCGGAGTCGATCGACACACCTGAGTAACACGCGATGGACGGCGGTGAGTACGAGGGGGAGGGGGGGGGGGGGGCAGGCGCCGGGCGCCCGGCCACACACTGGCGGGAGAAGTTTGGCACCGGAGAACTTGGCGGGAGGAGCAAGGTGCAACGCATGTCTGTCTGACAATGAGGGCCAATGGGAGCTGCTACTGGTGGGAACTTTTCGCACCTATACTATTCCAGCCTAGCACCACGGCACAGTAAGGATGGGAAGCATTTAATCCGCATGAGGAACCCTATCACTGGGTGTGTAGGGCTGTTTGGGATTGTATTCTGCGATAACTTTTTAAAACGCAAAATCATCACCCAATTCGGAACCACCCTCGCTCGGCGCTGTTGTCAGAACCATATGCCATGGGGAGTCCACCTCTGACCAGAAGCACGCGGCGGCCTGACGGCCAGCAAGGTGACACACTCTCGATCCCGTCTGGCTGGGGACACGGGGGGGGGGGGGGGGGCGGTGGGCGCGGGGAGCTCACCACTGTCCAGGAGCACGCGTCGTCCCGACGGGCAGCAAGGTGACACACACTCGATCCCGTGTGACTGGGGACACGGGGGGCGGGGGGGGGGGGCGCGGGGAGCTCACCACTGACCAGGAGCACGCGGCGGCCCGACGGCCAGCAAGGTGACACACATTCGATCCCGTCTGACTGGGGACACGGGGGGCGGGGAGGGGGGGCACAACTGACCGACTCGCGGATGGCCAGGAAGGTGTGACACATCCAGCGCCTGGTGGTGCCGTCCCGGCAGATGTAGGAGAAGCCGCGGTCGTGGTTCCGGTCCGGCGCGCAGAACGACACCTTCTCGATCGTCTGATCCACGATCAGATCCTGCCGGGACAGGGCAGAGCGCTCAGCACCGGCGCAGAGCGGCGCCTTCATCGTAAGTCACCGATTGCCATGATCGACGATCATATTCTGCCTTTGCACAGAACAACGTCGGTGATCATCTGCGAGGCCGACAATAGCAGGCTGGTGAGACTGCAGATATGGGAGTGAGGACGTCACAAGGTGGTCCACAAACTCCTGTGAAATTCAGCCCTTCCATGCCGTTAATACAACAAATTCTACCAAAAGCGCGATGCATAGTTTCTCCTCCCTTCTCACTGGTTCCCACGGGTAGGGTGGTCAAACCCAACAGCCTTACCAGTCCAGAGCAATGGTCCAACGGTTACAATGACGTCGTCCATGTGGCTACCACAATGCAGTGGAATGCACGCGTTTCGCAAACTGACGGCCATAGGATATATTCGTGCGCAACATTTTAACCAGAAACTAAACCCGTACTTTGAGCTTGCGTGCTTTGTTATCTTACGCTAACCACACCTCGAGTGACCCTGGCGGCGCCACCTCTGCCCCTCTCCACCCCACCGCACTTGATCCTCGGCCGACAGGCCCCGCCCGCGCCGCGGTCACGTGGCCTCGTCTCGCGGCGAGCCGACCGCAACAAGGCGGGCGGCGTCACGGGTGCAGCCCGGCCGAGCCGCGGCCGCCGCCCGGCCCGGCTCAGTCGCGGCCGCCGCCCGGCCCGGCCGAGCCCCGGCCGCCGCCCGGCCCGACTCAGTCGCGGCCGCCGCCCGGCCCGGCCGAGCCCCGGCCGCCGCCCGGCCCGGCTGAGTCTCGGGCGCCGCCCGGCCCGGCTGGCCCCCTCACCTTCGTCTCGTCGTCGACGACGCGCAGGCCGTCGCCGGACACGTACAGCATGCCCCGGAGCGGCCGGCGCCGCTGCGACTGTGGACAGAAGGAGCCGGTCAGCGCGGGTCACGGGGCCGGCGGCGGCGGCGGCGGCGGGGCGTGTGGGGACGCTGCGGCACACGGCGGCACCGGGCGTACCGTCGCGTCCCAGACCGTGAGCCTGCCGCAGCGCAATACCGGAGCCATCTCGCCACCACACTGCTCGAATCGGCAAAGCTGAACGAGGAGTGACGAACCGCTGACAATGCTTCACAAACCCACCCATCGACAAAGACAATAAATTCACCGCGAATGACACATTTGTCGGCAACGGCAAGGTGGTTTAGAATAACCTCATGATGTCTAAAAATCCGGAACAATACCGACTCAGGGAAGGCCGAAATGACTGTTACGGACCAAACAGCCCCATTAAGTGGTCGTTAAACTGCTTGCATGTCAAGAAAAGCAGTCACATTAACATTCAACCCTACGCGATTAGCAATGTCCACCACCAATCTAGCATAGCATGTATGGGGAAGTGACGGTGCACCCGCCATTTTGCCTGGACGCCTGTTCCAAGATACGTTACGTAACTCTCCCGTGTATAACACGCGCCCCACGCCCCGGGATCATCCCCGTTGACGGCCACCGCGGCCGGTTCAAGAAACACCAGCGGTGCTGTAAGCCGTTTCGGTATCCCGTCCCGCCCCTGCCATGGGCCCGCCGGGCTAGGTCAGGGGCCTCTCCTCCGCCCCAGCCCCCCGCCGGCACCGGGCGTGGCCACTGGCGCCTGACACGGCGCCCGTGTAGGCCGCTGTGTCAAAGTGTGCCGTCCGGGACAGTGTCTCAGTCGGCGGCGTGAGGAGCGGGACAGCCCGCGACAAAGGCGACCTCCGTCTGACGCACAGCTGACGGACCGCCCGTCGCCGGGCCCGACAGCTGAATGGACCCCTCCCTGGAGCCGGCCTGGGAAGCTCCAGCCCTTTCCAAGACTCTCCGCCGTCCCCTTCGGCCTTGTTCCGACCGGCCTCCTCTTCAATAGCACTGGACACGGACGGCTGCTGCGGTCCGCGGCGGATCCTGCTGTGGATCCTGCCGCGCCGCAGGATCCCAGCTCGTTGCCGTCGCAGACCGGGCCCAGGCAGAGCGTCCCAGGCCACGACGCGGGCGATCGTAACCTTTGTCTTTAAACTACTCCTGACTAGATGGCATGGCGGTGAGCCAGCTGGTCCCTTCCCACCAACCGCCGGCGCCGCGGCCCGCATAGGAATTCGGTGCGGTGTCTCAGCGCCGATCGTAAATTTCGGGAGACAATGGCGGGACGTTTGGCGCGCGGTGGCGGGTGGCAGAGGACGGTGCGGAGGCGGCCGTTACTTACCCGCACCAGTTTGAGGGCGTCCTCGCACACCTGCATACCGCGGGACTCGTACACCTGCACACATCCCAGGTACTGCAACGGAGAGGACGGCGCTGAGTTAGATGCACAGTCGGACGCTCGCGCGAGCGGTGCGGTGCGGGATCCTCCCCAAACGACCGGAGTCCGAGGCGAACACGAAAACACGGAGAGAGCAATATCAACATTACACCTGGTCATTACAGCTGGTACAGAACCACATTAAAATGTATGCAGACTAGACGCGGTAGGAATGGGCAGGGTAATTATCTGGATACATGTATCACATTTGCAAATCGACTGACTGGCCCACCGCTCAGGAGCACCAAAGGTACTTCCCGACACCAAACCGCCGCACCTCCACCAGCCCCACACCCGCCTCCAGCAGCCAGACAGGCCGAACGAGCGTTACTCGCCCGCGACCCGCACCGAACACAACGGTTCGTTCATCCCTTGACCAGCTCGACCCAGCGTCACACCAGCGAGCGCACGCCCCTCACTGGGGGGGGGGGGGGGGGGGGCACGACCCGGCTACCTGTCCTGTCACAGCGCCAGACAGCGGCTGCTCGTCCTTCCCGGCGTTAGACAACGGCTACCGATCCGCCCGCAGAGCGGCTGCAGGCCGTATTACGCGGCGCGCGGCGGCGCGACGCCCGCCCCGTGATGGTCTGCAGGAGACCGAGCGGCTGCCCGACCGAACGATCGCGGCGCGTGAGCGACGCGGCGGCACTAACGGCGCCTGTTGCGACACCGGCGCCGGAGCACGCTCCGCGGCCGGCAGCAGCGTCGGGGCGCCGCGCTCAGCGCACCGGGCGTGGCGGTTCGGCATCGACCACACCGGCCCGGCTGGCGGCAGGGACGACTACACAGGCCCGGCTGGCGGCGGGGACGACCACACCGGCCCGGCTGGCGGCGGGGACGACCACACCGGCCCGGCTGGCGGCGCGGACGACCACACAGGCCCGGCTGGCGACGGGGACGACCACACAGGCCCGGCTGCGGGTGCGGACGACCACACCGACCCGGCTGCCGGTGCGGACGACCACACCGGCCCGGCTGGCGGCGGGGACGACCACACCGGCCGGGCTGGCGGCGCGGACGACCACACAGCCCCGGCCGGGGGCGCGGACGACCACACAGGCCCGGCCGGGGGCGCGGACGACCACACAGCCCCGGCCGGGGGCGCGGACGACCACACAGGCCCGGCCGGGGGCGCGGACGACCACACAGGCCTGGCTGGCGGCGCGGACGCGACCGAGCGACGGAGACTGTGGACGCCGGCCGGCGAACGTCGACGACGACCCCGCCGCTGCGCGGCAGTGGTCGGCCGGTGCGGTACATATGGCGCCGTCGGACCGTCGTGCTCCGGCGGCAGGCCTGGCGTAGAGTGCGGGACGGGTGCTCTCCCGACCGGGTCGGCTCGGGGACGCCGACCGCCGGCCCGGGGACGCCGACACGGGCACACGAGGTCCGGCAGACACCGCGCGCCGGCCGCGCCGGCACGCTCTGGAGGCCGCGTGCACGGCGGGAGGCGGGCGGCGGGTCATCCTGCCAGCGCGGCGCCGCCCGCCAACGGGCGACCCCGGGCGGCCGGGAGTGCTGCAGTGGGGACTCGGCCCATGGCGTGCAGCGGCCGGGGCGTGACGCGACTACACAGCTGACAGTCACGCCATACGCGGCCGACCCGATACGCCGGCAGTAGCACGAGAGGAAAACCGACGGTCACCGCCGAGGCGGGCAGTGGGGCGACACGAACTCCACAGACGACACACGGCCCCTCGGAGAAATAAACAGGCGGTGACTCGCCAGCTGATCATACGCCCATGCACAAACAAACAAACATCATGTACTATTGCCCCCCGCGGGACAGAGAAACACTCCAACGAAAACACACGTGCGCGTCAAGGCATCCGCGCCGCCGTAAGTTCAAACATCCGCCCTGGCAGGAGACGTGGCTCTCTTTACCGCGCTCAGCTACATTCTGGCCAGACAGGTGGCATGCTGACCGCTTCCGGCTGCACCGGGCCCCGAGCCTTGTCGCTGCCACCGGAGCCGGCGTCTCCGGCAGCGACGCTTCACTCAGCCGTCAGCGCCGCGAAATCCGAGCACACTCTTCTCCGGTGCGATCGGTGCTGTGCGCACGTCAACACCCCTGTCGGTCCGCTTCCCCCCCCCCCCCCGCCCCCCAGCCCCCCGGCACCGGCAGACCGCACCACCCTGCCTGGCCCGAGCCCGCTGCGAGGACGCGCTCCGCTGCGAGTGCTCCTGCCTTCAGACCCGCGCGTTGAACGTCCCACCACTCGTGCTTGTGTCTATGTTTGCATCTCCGCGGCGGCCGCAGCGCCGGTGCCCCGGCCGAGGTCCTGCCCCGCCACCGGCCCTGACCTTGACGTGGAAGGAGCAGGTGCCGGCGCGCACGGCCTCCTCGTCCGCCTGCCACTGGTGCGGCCGCGCCGACTCCGGGCGTCGCTCCTTCTTGCGTCGGAAACTGTCGCGCAGCGAGCGCCGCAGCCGGTCCATCCTGCGGTGCTGCTTCTGCTCTTCTGAGATGGCCGCCGGCTCGGCCGCCGCGCCGCTGCCGCTGCCGTTGCCGCCGCCGCCGCCCGTCTCCAACCGCTCAGCCTGCAGCGAGGACCGGTGTCAGATAGCAGAATCATCCCGAAAGCTGCGGCCTATCATCCCGCAGCGCCACATTCCACGGTTCGCGCCACATTCCACGGTTCGCGCCAGCTCAGTTTCAGCCCAACACGACGTGACAAGAGCGTGGGTCTACCGACGCGGACCAAGTTGCGTCTCTTCCCGTGCCGGGCAGCACAAAACAGGGGAGACCGTGGCGATGAATGCAGGGTGGAGATGGGGCGCCTTCAATGCCCCGTCTCACGACATCGTAGAACAAAAGCACAATAGGACCGTGGCTGCAGTGCTCCACTCGGTCAGAGCCAGAAACGATCGGGCCGGCCGGATGGCTTAGTCCGAACATACGGGCGTGCTCGGGGGCACGGCCTCCACACAACATCTCAAGAAAGCAAAAATGACGTAGGTGAACAAGATCCAATGTAACCACTAAACTAACGCCGACGCTGCCCATCCGCAACGATTTTTCTCGGTGCGTGCCTGTCACTGCCCATGAATGGCCTGGCTGCAAGCGTGTGCCGCTGCACAGCGTGTGGGGTGCACGCGTCCAATGCACAGTACGCCGACACCGCGTCCGCCACTGGCACCGGCTGCGAGCGTGCGCCCCTGCATGCGCTGCGGTGTAGCCCGAGCGTGGCAGTCCTCTATTCACAAGGTCGAGTGCGGGATACAGAACAGAGGCTCGGGCTGGCGCGTGGAAACACCCGCCCCAGCTCTGAGTCAGACGGCTTTTCAGGCGGGGGAGCCCTCATGCGGCCCGCGCCGCCCCGAAAGCCCAAAACGGACGGATGAGCGCTCCCAGAGAGCAGGAAGGACAAGGAGGCGGCTAGGGCAGGGACGCGGACAGTGGAGCAGCTCGTCCGAAGCTCCAGCGGCCGGCGTCGCGGGCGAAAGGCGTGTGCCGTCAGTCACCGTTAGCCCGGGCAGTGCCGCTTCCACGCCCCGCGCGTCCGGGGAAAGCGAGAGCGCGCCGCGCGATCTGAGCTGGTGCGCAGCGCCTGTTCGAAGGCCGAGCCAGTCTCCACGGCGTCGCGGTCCTTTCTCGCGCTCGTAGCCCCTCCCCCCCCTCTACTCCTCCCCCCCCCCCCCCCCCTCCAGCCCCCGCCGCCGCGGATCCTCTGGCCGTGCGGCGCCGTTATCAGACGCGAGACGCGATAAGGGTCCGTGCGGCCACGGAGCGCCGGGCCGGCCGCCCGTTTGAGGGTGCCGCCGGCCACTGTCACCGGACGCCGCGCCGAGCGTCCCAGCGAGGGTTGAGCGCCCACCTGGCCGCCGCGGGGAAGGAAGAGTGGTACACAAACATGACAAGGCGGTGGTCGCCGGCCACCTAGCTAGCGCGGGAAAACTGGTCGTGACCCATGCCACGGAGAACACGACCACGTGTCGTAAATGTGTCATGCTCGTGTAGAATGTACCGTCATGCTCGTGACGCGAACCTGATTGTTTTGGACAGACTAATGCACGGGATTGCCTAATCACGGGCAGGAAGAGCCTGGGCGAGCGTGCCATACGTCGTCAGGGTTAACGCCAGCCGTCTGCTGACGCCCACGCCGAGCTCAGCCGCGCGACCCACAGGAGCCTGCGCCCGGCTGCAGCGAGACCGGTGGGCAGGCCCGTTCCACCGCCCGCCGCGTGCCGGCCGCAAACCTTGCGTGATGACTCCGAAAACAGCGGCTAGGTTTCGTCAGCCGGCGAGCGGCGCCGGCGGCCGCGTGTCCACAGATCGAACCCGTACCGGTCGAAGGCGGGCGGCAATCAACCGTCAAACGGGGTTCGCGCCGGCCCGCGCCGGAGCCGGCGGTGGCGCCGGCGGACGGCACGGATGGCCGACCGGGCGAGGAGGGGGGAGGGGCTAAAAGGTCAGTGTAGAAATAACGCAATATTACCATCGCGCGTTAAGGTCCCTGCAACCTGTCCTTCCATCCACCAAGCCTCGTTCGGCGTGTCGTTGACAGCTGCACATCAGCGGCTGCCGGCTCGCCTCAGCCAATTAGCGGCCTTCCTCCAGTGATCACAGTGATCTCGGATGTATGGTGCGGCTTCCAACGCGGAGCGGCGTGTTTTTGCAGCCGTCTGCTCGCGCCGTGCAGCGCCCTGGGCGAGCGGCGGGCGGCCTGTTCTCACGCGTCCGCCGCGGCCGTGTAGCCCAGCTGGAGGAACGGCCCGGCCCGCCTGCGCGGACGGGCGCGGACCAAGCGGAGGCCGGGGGCGGGGCGGAGCGGGGCCGCACGCCGGAGCGAGGTCGCAGAGCCACTCACCAGAGGCCCGACTTCAGGCACAACGGCGAGGGCTGGTCACAAGGCGCGGCACGACGGAGATTGGACGTGAGTAGACACCAAAAGAGATGCGCTTATACGCCCATGTCGCTCCCGTAAACGTTACACAATACAGATAACGCCTTGAATCGTACGCATAACCAACCGAAAGGCGACAGTTCTTCGGAAAGGTCTAGGTCTAGCCTACGGCTGAAGAGGGCGCCTCGTGGTTGGGTTCCCTTGTATTTCGTCATTGAAAGTGCATGGCGCGCCGATTGCAGTGATCGTTCAACCACTTCCCGGGACACTGCAAGCGCTCGCTGGATCCCAGAGGCGGCCGGAGCCTTCCGCATGGCGCCGACCGTTATGATTTAGCTCGTTGACACCCTTGCTATGAGCCGACGATCCGTATGCGGAGAGACGGCGTGCCAGCAATGGCCGATCTGCAGACTCTCATCCCACTCATCTTGTCATCGCTTTCCATTTGAGGGGCGTATATCATGCGATCTCGGCTGGGACACCGGCGGAGACCTCCCCCCCCCCCCCCCTCCCCCAACCCATGCTCCCGCCGGTCCGGATCGGTCGGTGCCTTCGTCAGCGGACGGCACCGGTCTACCTTGGTCGCCGGCGACCGTTGGAGGCGGCCGAGCCGGCTCGGACGGCGCCACAGCTCACAGCATGCAGCCGCTCAGGGTCGCTAGGCCGCTCGGGCGGCGGCCGGCTGCCTTCAGGAGCGTGCGATGCCTGACCGGGCACTCGGAGCGGACGCCTCAGCACGGCCGCCCGGTGATGGCGGCGGCTCGTCCCGCTCCGACCCGCGCTCGACCAACCACGCTGCGCTGGTGGGCCGCCGGCGCCGAGCGGCCGGCCGGCAGCCATTTCCTACCTGCAGCCGTCGCTTCTTATCCCGTCTCCGCGGACGCTCCGTCGGCACTGTAGCTACAGGCCCTGACTCTGTACCGCACTGTAGCTACAGGCCCTGACTCTGCACCGCACTGTAGCTACAGGCCCTGACTCTGTACCGCACTGTGGCTACAGGCCCTGACTCTGTACCGCACTGTACCTACAGGTCCTGACTCGGCGCCGCACTGTAGCTACAGGTCCTGACTCGGCAACGCACTGTGGCAACAGGTCCCGACCGGGCACCGCACTGTAGCTACAGGCCCTGACTCTGTACCACACTGTAGCTACAGGCCCTGACTCTGTGCCGCACTGTAGCTACAGGTCCTGACTCGGCACCGCACTGTAGCCACAGGTCCTGACTCGGCACCGCACTGTGGCAACAGGTCCCGACCCGGCACCGCACTGTAGCTACAGGTCCTGACTGTACCGCACTGTAGCTACAGGTCCTGACTCTGCACCGCACTGTAGCTACAGGTCCTGACTCGGCACCGCACTGTCGCTACAGGTCCTGACTCTGCACCGCACTGTAGCTACAGGTCCTGACTCGGCACCGCACTGTCGCCCACCGGTCCCGACCCGGCACCGCACTGTAGGTACAGGTCCTGACTCGGCACCGCACTGCAGCCACAGGTCCTGACTCGGCACCGCACTGTAGCCACAGGTCCTGACTCGGCACCGTATTGTCGCTCACCGGTCCTGTCCCGCGCCGCGTGGAGCCTAGCCGTACTCTCCCACAGCCACCTCGTCCCACCCAACGCCGCTGGCGCCGGCCGGAGCACTGCCGACGCCGCCGGCCCCCGACCCGTCCCCCCCCCCCACCCCTCCCTCCTGCGGCGCTCCCCCTCGCGGCAAGGAACCACACCTGGCTACCCCGCATCAGCGGTTCTCAAACTCTCCGCCCCGCAGGGTGCAGCCGCTGGAGGTCAGGAATCAAGTCGAAATGAGCCGTCCAGGAATCACGTCACGCATGATGGGGGAAATGGTTTTGATTAACCGCAAACGAAGCACAACAAGGGAGGAGTCCGAGCGTTACGGAAATTGTTGGCATCCGGTTATAACAAGGAATGCTCCGTTTTTGCTGCGCATCTTCACCTCAATTAAGGGTCAACGGACTTAACATTCTTGAAACATTCTGTTTACGCAGCCTTACCGGGGAAGTAGTTTTTTGCCCAGCGTAACCAGTGCGTAACCAGGTGGAGAGCTTGAAAATACATTACTTTATTTATGAGCGTCCGTAATGCCCATCAGAGAAAGCAATGTGCCACCGCTCGGTCAACCCCAGACCGGACCTGCCGCTACCCCCACCGCACCACCGCCATCCTAAACACTCGGACAGCAGGACATATCGCGGCACATAACAAGTCCTCTCACAACGAAACAACGGACCCGCGACGGGGCGTCCATGTTTGAGAGCCACTGGCGGCCGAAGCGACGCGGATCAAGTCGGGATTCGTCGCACCGCCGCGTTGTTGAAATGTCAGCGGCGGGTACGGCGGCAGCCTTGCACGTCCCGCCGTACACGCGGTGATCAGCCGAGCGGGCGTGGGGCGGTGGTGCCGCCCGGAGGCGGTCGTGATCGATGAGAGGGAACAAAACAGCCGCGCGGCTGACAAACAGAGGTGGGCACCAGCTGAGGACCGAGGCAAACGCCTCAGGCGCGTGCCAACGGCAATAAAATTGCTCACGAAGGCACGGACCACAACACGTGCCATAAAAACGGCCGCGCCATTCGTTAGAATGAAAAATTGAATGTTTACTGAGGTAGCAGAGTTGAAAACTTCTAGCAAACGGGGACCGCAGGAGAGTAATATTTATTGCTGTCACGGCTTG